CTCCTGAGTTCGTATCCAAGGAGGGAGGATCTCGCCTGGAGGGACCTGGATCCAGGGTATAGGGATGAGGGATACAGTGGATCTCGAACTTTCGTAGGACAACGGAGATCACAGACGATTGCAAGATGATGTTGGATGATTGGAGAGTTCGGATCCACGGCGAGTGTACCATTACAGTGAGGTGGATCCAAGCGACCTGGATCCGGATGAGTGTACCCATAATAGGGTGACCATGATGATTACGTCATATATCCGGTGGATCTGAAGATAACACAGCTGGGATGATGAGTCAAGGGAAGAAGGGACATGCAGCCGAGCCTGGTAAGGGATTTAGCAGATGAAAGACATAGAAGGTAGAAACCCAGGCAGGTATAGGCTTAAATTTCAATACAGACTCCAATTTGCACAGTGACACGCAAGTGCCTTCCTGCCCTCAAGAACCGGAACTACATTGGCCGTACGAGCTCCGAGAAGGTTGGGAATTGCGAATCTAGTGTTGGTAGTGATAACTGGATAATACATTGGCCAGATCCTACAACCTAGTGAGCTTTTCCTTTACTTGTGCAGATCCGACAGGTTAACCGAATTTACTACTTGGTCGGTTACACCCTAGGGGCTCTCAACTCTCAAGATCCCGTCACAGGAGGCGGCAAGTACGACTTAAAGGACAACACAAAGGCAAGGGAACACACCCGCAAGGCAACCCTACGGCTAGATCCACGATCTAGGCCCCGGATCCATAAGCTCGAATATTCGCTTAGGATACGGAACCATCCACGGACGCAGAGTGAAGATTTTCCACTGCTGCTCCACCCCATCCCCACGTCTCGCCAAGACACTCAAGCTTCACCACTTGAACTCTTCGGAAGTTACCGAGAGAGCAGATCCCGCCCTACCGACGGGTACACAAGGTGAGGAAAGTTCAGCAGAACACGGATCATCGGGGGACCTCCTCCGTTAGTCGGTGTCTGGGCGCAGTTGGTAAGTTGGATCTGGCAATCTCGCAGATTTTGCTGATCCCGCTACACCACAATGGTGCGCGTGCCGGATCTTTTGGTGACTCGGGATTTCACCGTGAGTCCCAAGAAGATGCTCAAGTGAAGATTGAGCCAGGGGAAGAGGCGTCGTCGGAGGTCGGATCGACGAAGACGCTGCTGAATGAAACAAGATCCGCGGATCGATGGAGTTTTGGGAGGAACTCTGTCGACGGAAGAGAGGTGGATCCGGATCCGGATCTAGAAGAGAAACCTCTCTATCCTCCCCAGGTCCCCTCGGGGACCCCTGCGGATCTTGACGTAAGTCAAGATCCGCTAACAAAACAAGGGAAAGTGAAGGCGAAACGGTATGCATTTGCAGATTCACCGATTAAGCCAACACCGTACCTAAACCCAAGCCCGCTAGTCGAAGAAACAAGAAAGAAAACGAAAACGAGTAAGACTACGCGGAAGAAGATGCAAGCTCCAGAGTCGGAAGAAGACCAAGCTGGATCCAGGTCAAGCTGGTCCGACAAGGATCTCGAGTTTGTGTATCGCCACCAAGCTCTACGCGATTTCCTGCATCAAGATCCTGTCATGCAGATCCTGAATCCACGACAGATCGAAGATCCAAGGGAACCGGTGGGAGCACCAACGAAAACGGCGAACAAGTTGGTGGCAGTCAAAGATCTATTACGTCTGCTTACGGAGTCAGGCATCGTAGCTGGTGTGTTCGACGCAGAGGATATCTTCGAGCTAGACCTGGATCTCATAGTATCCGCGACGCGGGACCTCTTTGCCAGAGTTAAGTCCATCACCGGAGAAAGGTCGCGTACTATGGATCCAGTGTCGTCGCCGAGGATCAGCCAAGCTGCGTCCTCAAACTACGAATCCGCCGCTGAGGATGAGTCAGACACGTCGTCCGAACCACGACGCATGACTTTAGGACCCTCCGGGGCATCCATGCTGGAAGCGCGGGCGAGGATCCGAGGACAGGAAGCCCCTGTGAACGTGAAAGCTCGGGATCCAGTACGCCCTACGCGTGATTTGACGCAATCCAGCCAGGATCGAGCCAGATCCGGCAAGAAGCCAGTGGGATTATCGTCAGATCAGGCTCGAGGTAATCACCTCACGGATCCAGTCCCGCCAGTGGACCAGACGGCAACAGGCTCTTCCGACACTTCCTCGGGCACCCTGCAGCGGCACTTTGAAGCTGCGATGAATCGCTTCCTGGCCGAACAGGGCATGAGAGCGCCCGTGCCACAAGTGCAAGTGCTCCACGAACATGGAGCACGGGACGTGGAGATGGAGTCAGTAGAGGGGGACAACTCCCATGATGAGTTCGACCCAGACGATCTGGATGGCCCATCCACTTCGGCAGCCGTGGTAGCAACGGCCACAGCCGGGGCAGGTGGATCGTCCATGATCCAGAGGGTACGGATCTCAGCTATATCGGACTTGAAGGAGTTCACGGGCAAGGATCAAGATGAGGACCGAGCGAGAACATGGATCAGCAAAGTCAAGTCGGCCCTCATGAGAGATCAAGCGTCGGATGCTGAGAAGTGTCTGACCTTTGCGGATCTGCTAGCGGGGCCAGCCAGGAACTGGTATCGGCAGCTGGGCAGATCAACCAGGAACAAGTGGCCAGATTTGCTGCGCAGTTTCCAGACCCAGTACTGTGGATTAGGAGTGTCGGTGGCACGACAATACTACCATGCTCGCCGCAG